TTTCATGACCGAAGGACAGTAGGATTTCATTCAGCTAATGGGAAGGCAAACCGAATGAAGCAAGCGGCTTCTGATGATCGATTTTTAATTTCAGGTTATAGAAGAGACTCAATAGACAATCAGTTCAGGAAAATAGAAAGTGCAGGAGGAGCATATCGGCAAATGAGCAGTGATGAATTCATGATTTATGGACAAGAAAAGCAATTCAGCAATGAGAGTTCATCTCACCCACTCATTGATCATGTGGGTGAGCGTGCTGGTAATGCGGTCAAGAGTTCATCACGCAATATAACAGATGAATCCTTTGTGCTTCCATATAGATCAATTTCATGGGATCTTGGATCAGACAGCGTAGCTGCTATTGACATGGTTTCTGAGTTCCCCTCAACCATTCAGAAAACTCAGGGTTCATATGATAAGGTCAAAAGCCAACTTAGCTATGAGCCAGATAATCTATCAATGGTTCCTGTGCATGGATTGGAAAGTGCATCTGTAGGTTATAATCTGGCTATGGATTATGATTCTAAGATTCCTGTTGGAAATGCTGCCAAGCTGGAAACCAGTAACCAAGAGGAACCCTCAGTGAGCACTAAAAAAGAATCAAAGAAATCAGACAAGAAGTTAAGAGCCACAAATGATAGTGTGGAGAAAAGGAGGAAGGATGCACTGGTGAAGAAAGGGGTATCCTCAAGGCTTAACCCTTTGACTGAAGCACAAAAGCGTGCAGAAAAGCTGCGGTCTTATAAAGCTGATCTTCAGAAAATGAAGAAAGAAAGGGTAATTCTCTTGATTCATCTTAATTTTTGTTGTCTGGTTTCTTTCCTATCTCTCTAGTTGCTAATCACAGTAGAAAATGATGGGGGAAAAAAACAGAGAGGTGCTTAGATTAGAAAGCACATTCTATGGAGCCTGCAGGATAAGCATAGTCCACATTATTTTTTCATTCTTCCAAAAATAAAATGTCACTGGATATTTTCACAAACATCTGGATCTACAGTCTTTATATATATATAATTACTTTTAATCTCCCTTAGATATTATTAATACTGTGTTCATACAAGTCAATAATGAACTCTTTTCCTATAGCCATGTTTCACAGTTTTTGGACAAGAATATATTGTAAGAATGTACTAAAAATTACAGTTCAGCTTACATTGAATGAATTTTCAGTTTTTTGGTGTGACGTTAGTGTTGTAGAAGCCTTGAAAATGGTTGAGTATACTGTATGTAAAACTTTTATCTGCTAGTTCATAGTGGTTTAGTTAGGTTGTTTTGCTTGTCTGCTTGGCTGACTGGTCGGTCTGCTCACTCTTAGGAAGAGGAAGAGATAAAGCGTTTGGAAGCTTTGAAAAGAGAGAGACAAAAGAGAATAGCTGCAAGAAGAAGTAGTTTTAATGTCACCCAGTCACCATTGACTCCACAGCAGACAAAAGCCCGCTTACCAGCAAAGACTTCGCCAAGTCCTTACAAAGGATCAAAGTTTAGTGATACACAGCCTGTTTCTTCTTCACCTTTGCAAAAATTGCCGTACAGGACATCTTCAGTTGGGTCCAACAATCTTCAGAAAGTTATCAAATCCCGCAGATTAAATGGCAGTAATCATGGATTAACCCGATCAGCGTCTTCATTGCCTGAGAAAAAAGAAAGTAGCAGGCTCATGCAAGAAGCAAAGGCAGATTCTCTTCGAATGAAGAGACTCTCTGATCCAAAAAGCAGCTACACTCGCCATTCTCCCTCGGTGAAGACTTTGGCTGCTGATCAGGCACCTAAGAGAAGCATAGCTGATGAGTCTCGGAAAAAGATTACTGCAGTTAGGCAACTGGACAAAAGTAAGTCAGCAACTCTGCCAGGGCTTAGAATTAGAACAATAAAATCTTCATCTGAAAGAGTTGGAAAGGGAACAGCTAGCAAAAACCCCATGCAGAAAGGGAGTGGAAACAAAGCTTCTCGTGCTTCTGATAGCATTAAAGGAAAATTGGGCAATGATAAACCACCTGGCAACAGCGATGAGAATCCAGTGATCGAGAAGACTGTCGTGTTACTTGAAAGTCATGTGGTCAGTGCTCCTGTTGTCCGGCAATATAAAGAGACAATAGGCACAAAAGGGATATCACATGGAGATGGGTTGGGTACAGGATTTTCAGCTATTCATGCTCCACCATCACCTATTGTTACAGGTCAGCTAGAGGATGCTGGTGAAGGCAAGTCGTGTGAACAGCCAAGCTCCGGTGAGGTATATTTTTTCAGAGAAAATTTGCACAATTTTTAATATGAGATTATCAACAAAGATATGGTTCAAGGGAACATATTATTCTCAACCTAATTACATCCTTTCATTTAAAGTTTGGAATCACAAATTTAGCATGGGAGACTTCTAGCTCCTGCTATTAATCATTGTTACCAAGACAACATGGAATCCATTAGTTTAGTTTTTTTGGATGTAGCTTTTTTTATTTGATACTACTGCCTTTAGTTTAAAAATATCATTAGCGTTTAATTGAGTTCATCAAAAAGCAAATAGCTATCTGTAGTAGTTTGTTTCAGATTTTTATGCTGTCTGGTAACATTGATGGATCTGTCTAGTGATTTCTGTAGTAGTTTGTTTCAGATTTTTATGCTGTCTGGTAACATTGATGGATTTGTCTAGTGATTTCTTTAGCCCATTGTTCATGGGCCAGCTGCTTATGGAATGACTAGCAATCAAATCTAACCAGATCACTAAAGGCTATGTCATGGTGGACAAGAAGAAAAAGATTTAAGCTTGTTGGTCTCTGCTTTTGTTTTGACTGCAACTTTTTCAAAGATGAAGCATCCATCTTTGTTGCACAACCAATGCTACTGATAGGCTGATTATGGATGTATGTTGCTTATGCTGATCAGGGGGTTGTTCCTTACCCGAGTAATAAGCCTCAGAAGTTCTCAAACTCAACCACAGCAGAAAAGCCATATCAAGCCCCTTTTGCCAGAGCAACTTCCTTGAAGGATCCAGTTATCACTAAATCTGGGCCTGATGGAGATCTACCTGCATCAGAATCTGAAATAGTTGCCATGCCAGCTGAGAGTAAGATGAAACATGTATCTGGATTTGAGAACCCAAGCTTGGGGAATCAAACTCATGAAACACATGAGAAGCCTCGAAGCAAGGAAACAAAAGGTTTCAGAAAGTTGCTAAAATTTGGTCGAAAGAGCCACAGCTCAGCTTCAGGTGAAGGCAATCTCCAGTCAGGTGCTTCATCTGTTGGCGGTCAAACAGTTGCTGCTGCTTCATCCAATGACGGCAAGTTTCTCATCTCCTGCAGATTGGACTTATGATTTTGTGGTTAATATTTTAATTTGACTTGCTTAAACAACTGAGTTTAACTAATCAGAAAGAAAGAATATATTGAAATGGATCATCTTTATCATTACCAAGATAATTCTGTCAACAACTTAGGTCATACTAAAGTGTCACTTTCCTAATTTTCAGCTGCTAACTTATTTAAACTTTCCAAAACTTCATTTGCAAACTTGCTACTCCCAGTTGTTTAAGTAGGAGTACAACTGATATGATATCCATATGCAACACCTGGAGGCTAGTAGATTTGCCTGCTGTGTTGCAGCCTTAAAGAAGAAACGAATGTGCTTCTTAAATTCTGCTCTTTTATGATTTAATTACCTATAAGAGTGAATGTTAAACATGGTCGCACAAGCATCAATTCAAGCATATTTGAACCCATACAATATGTGCATGCAGTAGGTCATCATCTTTCTTTCCTTGTCTTGTCAGCTCATGTGTTGTAGAATCTTGTTCCTCAAGATGAAGAAATCATGCTGGAAGAACTAAAATTAGGCATGTCTTTTTCAACTTTCAAGCTGTTCTGCTGATGACTGTGTGATGTACCTAGAACAATCCTGGGTACCAGCAGGAAACTGAAAGTTCTCATGACTCCAAACTAAAATCTTCGTCTTTTCCTTTTCTCTGAAGAAAGTCATTGGTGCCTGTTTCTTCGGGTATCTTCTGATTTCATTTTGATTCGATAGGCCTTTCTCAAAGGCTTGACTTTTTGTGTACAGTTTCTCGGGCATTCTCCCTTCTTTCGCCATTCCGAAGCAAGAACAGCAGGAAGAAACAGGCAGCATGATCAGCACACTGCTCCATTTTTACACAATCAAGGAAGATGCATCAAGACGACGAAGATGAATCCACTTCCATCGAGCATAAACTGCAAATGGACTGAAATATTTTTGGTTTTTCTGATCGATGCACTCTATTGTTTTATTCTCATGGTGTAAATTTTGTTAATTATTCCTTGCTGTTCATATCATCATTGTGTCTGTACTCGTACCCTTGTGAATGAACCAATCTTAAGTTTGGATGATCAAGTGCATATTCGATTTGTATGCAATTGCCCTTCTTTTGAGTGCCCTCCCACATCAGGGCAGTGGTATCAGTAGTTCCTTAGGTGTGCCTTTAAAGACACTTGGATATGGGCATGGCATTAATTGAAGGAGCTGTTACAAATCTATTCTCTCCATGTCTCGAAAGGACATATTTGACTTCCAAAAATTTTATATAGCATACATAATCTCGCAATAATATAATATAAATCCTTCGTATTAGCATTTGTATAATAAAACTCAGGTTAAGGTTTCTTAATCGTAATTACCAGTGAGCTTTAAGAAATCTTGAATTGTAAAATTCTTTAAAACCTTTAATACATTCTTCGATAATAAAAAATCATTAATGTGTAGACACATGTGTGACTCTTAAAGGGTATTCGTATATTGGGAGTTTAAACATTGTTACATTATTATGATATTGATGAAATTAATTGTAATAGTATTTATATACATTTTTGAGTTCTACGATAATTTCATCATAATAATTTGAGTTTACACGGAACGATAATTATTGTAATAATAATATTTATCATGATACTGTAAATATCATCATGACTTTACCATCGGAGAGTCGATGTGACGAAATTAACACAAGATGGAAAGATAGAGACAACAAGAAATAAACAGCAGCTTATAAAGTTTGAATATTTCTCAAAAATCCAAATCCACAAAACACACAAGGAATTCATTAGTTTTCGCTGCGAGCTCTCAACAAAACAGAAATAAATTCGACAAAATTCGCCTACTACTCGAGAGGAACTCAAACTGCAGTCTCCTTTTTAAGCTTGGCCAGCTCTTGCCTGATAGCACCCCCTCTCTGAACAAACATATGACAGAATTGTCAACACAGTGAACAAAAGGAAAAGTACATTGATAGAAGAAGCAAGAAGAATCTACACCTTAATCTTTGCCAACATGACCTTGAACCTGTCAAAGTCATTTAGTGAAGCTCTCCTCTTCTGCACAATTAGCTTCCTGCCCCATGAGCTGTTCTCCCATTTGTTCTTCACATCTGCAGTATCATGTCGGCTTTATAACTGCAAAATTACATGTTAATCCACCATTCAGCAGGGAATATCAATCTCACCAGCAGCTTCCATGGCAGCAATAAGGGTCTTCTTCTTGGGAACTCGTGGTATGTCGATCCTTATATCAGTAAGAGAAAGCCTCTTGAAGTTCATTTGACCACGCACCATGTCAGGAGCATCGACCAAGGCCTAAAATTCACAGCAGATAGAGGGGAAAGACTAATTATCAACTCATGCCTAAAGAACTCGAGGTTCTCACTGCAAGTACAAAGGCAAGCACCATTGAACAATTTTACCATTGGTCAAATGATGAAATATGCAAATATATAGAATTCCAAGACAAAATATCATGAAGTCAAATAAAT